AGGAGCCGGCCCCCGGCGAGGGCGGTGAGGCGGCGTCAGCGATCACTGTTACTCTCACACGAACAGATCATCTATCCCTCGTTTCTGAGCACAGCCTAAATATACAAACTGTAACTACAAGCGCGCTTCGGGTACATGCAGGCGCGCAGTTCCGGCAGGGTCCCCATCAGCGCCCTGCAAGCCGGCTTTATCTTCACGTTCTCAGGCAGCTAATTGGCACCGTATTGCATATCTCTAATTGCCCAGAGAAGCGTGCCTGGTCAGGGGACGTGTGACCAGGCTTGCAAAAACTTGGCCCGGATTCAATTCTATAATACATACATTCATGTTACTACAACCATTGTAATCTCTTCAGAGTCATACAGAAACCTGATATAAAATACACAGTCGTAGAGCAGGGATGTGTCAAGAACAGAAATGTTTCTGTTTATTAGAAAGCATGAAGATTTTAACTGAAAAACCATTGAAGTTTTCACAGCATCCCCTTGTTTTGATACGTGGGTGCACGACTCGATACAAGTGACACTATGCAACCCTTTGCGTTCCTGGATCCCATTTCTTGGCATCATTTGGTTTTAAAGAACTTGGGCAGCAAAAATATTGCTCAGTGCTTCGCTTGGATTTTCTGTCAATGGGAGAATTCTTTGTCAGCAGGTATCCATTTCAGCTCCAAGGAAACATAAGAATATGAGCTTTCTCCCTAAAATGTACAGACACTTTTGAAGCCATTCCCTCTTCTTGTGTATGTACAGGACATTCAAGTCAACAAAGTCTTTGTATTAAATATGAATGCAGTTGTTGTTTCCAGCCCATTTCTGCACGAGTGTTTTCCAAGAAGCTCTTTCGTCTGCTGCTGCTGCCGTGCAGCCCGCTTTCCCTGAAGTGAGAGCAGCAGGGCTGTCCAAGTATTTCTGAATGTTCCTGCGCTGTGCCAAGCGAGTTGCAAAGATGGCTGCAGACAGGCATTGCATAACTCGTCTTACTTTCTCTTGATCTATTTTAATCACTTTCCTGCACTTATTTTATTCAATAGGCATTTGTGTCAAACCGAAACACGTAGATGCAGCTGAATTTGTAAAAATATGGATACTGGGGCGAAGTTTTGCATTCCAGAAGGAAAATTCCTGCATTTTCCCCTATGTACCAAGCTAGGTACCAAGCAATGTACCAAGGAAAACAGACAGCGGTGACAGGAGCGGAGACAAGAAACCCATAGATACCTAGTAGCATGGCAAATCATTACTGTCCATATTTGACTTTTGGCCTTGCAGAAACCTTTTAAATAGATTTTTCTACAACTACCCACAAGCTCTATTTTCCATAAAATACATGACTCTGTGTAGATACCCTCATCCTTTTTCCTTCCCAATTTTTCCCAACTCTCTCTTTTTCACCACTTCTCAAATACCTGGGTGCTAGAATGTTTCATGCTACTCATAGTAGTAGCTGTACTAACCTTCACCTTGAGCTCTGAAACGCCAGCTCCAACAAGAGAACCCCAAACATGCACACACAAAAAAATCACTTAAATGACACACAAGAGGGGGGTGTGTGTGTTACTAAGGCCCTCCAACTTCTTCTAGAAACTAGAAATTCTTGTGAGACTGTTTTGTTTTGTTTTTAAAGGAAGGGGAAAGGGAAAGAAGGGAAAGGAAAGGAAGGGAAAGAAGGGAAAGGCAAAGGACAGCCTTGTCTTGAAGAGTTCCTGCCTACCGGGAATTCACTCCGTGTGGGCTGAACCTGCCGGCACCGCTGGGAGCCTTCCCTGAGAGAGCGCTTCCCCAGCAGCTTGTGGGCCACCCCAGCTTCCCACTGGGCAGCCCGAGGGTCGCTGGAGCTGGCCAGGCAGAGCCACAGCCTGGCCAAGCCCGGGGGATGAGTGGGGCTTACCACCAGATCCAGAGGTTCAATCCACCCTACGTAGATGCTTCCTACACACCTGTGAGGGTGGGGGTCCAGACTGGTCATACCACAGAAGGTAAATGTTTATAAGCCAGAACCTAAAATTCTTGACAACATACAAATTGGCAGTCAGAGGTTATATAAGTTTACAAATAAGAACATGGAATACTGTTAATTCTTCTCTGTAATTGCAGAGATTGAAGACAGTGGTGGCAGCAGCAGCGGTTCTGAGGTGATAATGAGGTTTGACATAAACGACTTTCTGGCTTGTTAGGACAGAGGGAGAACCTTGTGCATCCTCCACTAAAAACCTCACAAAATGAGGGGAGTTGACACCGTGATATACCAGGAACAATGAGAAGCCCTGTGAGGCACCCTTATATGCATTTTTATTTGCTTATCCCTACAAAATGGGGGTGTGTGTTTCCAATTCTACAATATTAATTATGAAAGGACATTTCTTAACAAGATACTCACATTTTAAAAAGGAATAGATTCAAGAATGGAGAGACGTTACTTAAAAGATCTTGTTTATGGGTAAAGAGGAAGCAAATATTTTATAGATAGGTAAAGACAAGAATGTTTGTGTTAGCATAATGCAAATTGTAATCTAATGCAAGAATTACCATTAGTCTAGATCTAATTATTACAAAAAGAAATAATAATAATGCAGCTGAAGTACTTACCTACAGAAAAAGTCACAATGATTGCAAAATTACTGTTAAAATTGTTACACGCACACATGCATGCGTGCATGACTATTTCTTAGTTTCTATTCCTTCCCCTAGGGATTGCTCCTCCGGGCATTCAGATCAGTAGCTTCAGGCTGCCAGAGGGAGCAACACCAACAGCCATCAGCCACTGCCGTCCTTTCCTGGAAGGAACGTGATGCTAATGGCAGTGGTTTCTTCTTCCTCTGCCCAGGATCCACCGTGGGTCCTTCTTAGTATGTTTGCTAACACGCTTTTGTACCTTACTTTTTCTTCATTGGTCTGCAGCTTCAGGTTACATCCAAATTCCCTATACATAGTGCCATTTATGTATGTTAGGTACTATTTATTTGATCTCTTTGTTACCCCTAAAATAAATTTTATCAAGCCAGGTCTGCATTTATTTTTTTTTTTATTTAACTAAGCATCAGTGAGTTCTTCAGATAGTTCTTCATAGGTGCTCCAGTACCCAACCCACGCCCCCAAATCTCTTTGCTAACCCGTAGCCCTGCAGCACGGCACTGCCGTTGCTAGCAACAGGCTGTAAGCTTTGCACCGAGTTTGCCTGGCCTCAGGACCCAGGCTTGCCAGGCCTGCTCTGTTTGAGCTTGTCCTGGCCTGCCCGCAGCTTTGTTTTGCTTGGCACAACTGTGACGGCAATTCCTCAAACTGCCTGCCTGTATCTAATTTGTTTTACTTGTGTTTATCTTTGCACAGTCCAACTGCAGTTTTACGTAGGGAGCGGCAACAAACAGTTGTTGGGGGGGGGATGGGGTATTTAGTACGCCCATGGAACGGCACAGCGCGGAGAAATACAGACCTGCTGCAACAGCAGAGACCTTGCGCTGTGGAGACGCGGGGTGAAGGAGCGAGGGCAGAGGCGATAAGACCGTGTGTGAGTGTTATGTGGATGACACAATACCAGTAAAACGGGAGCCTAAAGCATGGTGCAAAATTGTGCAAAGATGCATCAGCAGAGGCAGGAGGGGGACACAACCCTTCCCTAGCCTATGCACGATAACCAGGTCAGCCTATACGAGCCTGAAATATTCTCCTTATCATCAGTGCCTCTGGATTTGAACGAAGTAAACTCGGGGGAGCTGTTAGGAGCTCTTGCCCCATTCTTCACAACACAGTCTAATGCATGGCAGGGAGCCAGATGAAAAAAGCAGCTTAGCGACTGCAGTTTCTGTTCCCCTACTGGCGGCTGTTTCGGCTTCTTCTGCAGATTCAGGCATAAGCTGCAGTTTCACTTTCTGGTTCCCGTTGAATTAGTCACAGACCACGTGAGGGCTGGAGCACATAAAAGGGAAGACACAACACCACTGAGCAGCACTCTTCTGGCTTTCAAGCTGCCTGAAGACGAGTGAGCAGAGAGGGAAAACCATGAGGTAAGCAAGCAACCCAGTCACTGAAAGATGCTTTTTTGCTATGCCACAGGAAAATAATGTTTATTATGTACGTAAATGTAAGCAGTGAGGGACTTGGGGGATCCAAACAGCAGAAAATATTTTACAGAATATTTACTGGAAGAATCAAAACAAAATAAGGATGCTGTCAACTATTGTAATGTTATTGCTCCTCCGTCAAGGGCCAGCCACTGTGAACAGAACCGCCAGGAAAGCTGTGTGCATGCAGTTCAGGGATGGCAGCTGGGCTGCAGCCACAGCTGGTGCCCCGTCAAACGGGTGACTGGCACTGATGCATTTGACAATTTACTTTCTGATCTCTGCTGCTGCGAGGTCCAGCACAGAGGGCAGTGCAGCTTCTGGCTGCAGCTCCAAGCCTAAGAGTGGGTGCAATGTTTTCTGAAGACTGTCATGCATGCACATAGGCATGCACTCTCAAACAGGGCAAAGCCAAGATGTTTATGACAACTTTGGAAATTGCATTTACCAGTTATGTGTTGAACTAAGCTAAACTGTATTTAAACCGTACCACACACCTGGGTTTGTGACATTGGTGAACATTCCTTTTCACCAAATGTCATTTCATTAATTACTCCCCACTGTTGCTTTCAGCCATGGACATTGTCATGACTCTCAGCTGAGCAATAAAAAACAACACATTTGGGATTGAATGGGACTGCTTAAATGCTTTGAGCTATTCCTGC